TCTATTTCTATGATTAACGCATGAATACTGAGATTAGTAAAAATGTCCAATTAATGGAGGATTTACAAAAGATTGCGACGACTTAGTTTTTATATTTATTTCTGTTGGTCCCTAATCGCTCATTCATTCAGCGAATGCTACCGTGACGTCATCAGAAATAGCTGATATACAAAATTGACGCAATTTCCGCACTCTCTCAAACGTGTAAAATTGTCACACAGAGCCTAACGCTACTAATATAAGAGAATATAAAAAACAAAAGATTGGGAGAGGAAAAGAAGATGGAGAAGAATATCATAGAAAGGTAATAAGCGGTAGCAGAGAGACAACAGAACTTGGTAAAGAATTTTCTTAACAGGTTCACTAATTGACTCCTTTGTGTATGAAATTTGTTTTTAATAATATTAATATTAGCGTTAATTATTTCTAGGTATTAAATTTACATAATTAAATATATATATATTCTTTTTTTTTAATTTTTAATAGTAATTGACGCAATTTTTGTACAAGAACATAAATTTTAGAGAGTCAAATGGGTGCCGAGTTAACACTTAGAGACTGTGTGTGTGTATGGCTAAACATTTGTATCTATGTAAGTGGCATAGCTGTATTATTTAACTCTGCAGGGACATTCACAAGAGCCCTAGAGTTAAATAGATGTAAAGGACGTAGTTGGAGCTAAGTTTGTAATGCCTAAGAGGATCCTTAACCACTAAATTTTAATTTATAGCGGCCGCTGCGGGTAAAATAATTGTATATTTTTCATTTACTTGCTTTATTTATTACATATTTAATTGATAGTGATAATTGATTTAGATTTTCTTAATTTGGGTTGTTTCAGAGCAATGTTCCAAACGCAGTTTGCACAAATGGAAAATAATAAAGAGGGTGTTTACACTTGCTTTGCTGCGGAAGGTTGACTGTTAGCTCTATGTTTTTTTTTTTTTTTTGATTTTTAAGGCTTACTAATTTTTTTTTGCCGAATTATTTACAATTTTTTAATTTAATTTATTTTTCAAGGAAAAATTTATTTGCCAAATTTTATTTAAAAATTATATTTTGTTAAAACGTCACTAATATTTTACTAATTTATTGCACATTTATCCCAATTTTGTTGGTCCACGCAGCAACAAGTGTAGTGAAAATTTGTATTTCTGTATTAGCTTGCAGTGGTCGCCAAGCAAATAAGAATGAGGAAAAGAAAAATATATGAAAATAACACAAAAGCTTGATTTTTACTGCTTTTCCTAATGAATTTGGATCCAATATTATTTAATAGAAACTATTGAGTATTTTATTTTATTTTATTTTATTTTATTTTATTTTATTTTATTTTATTTTATTTTATTTTATTTTATTTTATTTTATTTTATTTTATTTTATCTTATTTTATTTTATTTTATTTCATTTTATTTTATTTTATTTTACAAATTTTTACGAACATCCCTAATGTTCATTCATTATAAATAGTTTAATATTGATGAAAATTTCATACTCCAAGATGGTTATTATTTAAACATACTTTTTATTCTAATGTTACATATTTTATCTATATATTTTTACCAATTGACAATTGAGGGATAAACTCAGCTACTTTTTCAATTTTAAATGAAGTCTTTTGTAAGCATTTAGTACTACTTAAATTTCAAAGGAAGGGATATAGAGTCAGGGAAAGAGAAAGATGTACAGCTAGGTTCAGAATTACTGTTAAACAGCGACTAGACGTTACACTACTAAGTTAGGGCTTTTTGCTAAATATTATTATACTTCTAATATTAAATGAGGGTGCATGGGAGGAGGAGTGGTAGCTTAATATTGAAGTTATTAGTTTTTTCTTAAATCTACGCTTACATTTTGGTAATTGACTAGATTATATTTCGAAATTCTGACTGACTGACTAAAATGCCAAGAAAACCCTAAAACTGAGCTACACAAACACAACAGCAACGAAAACAACACCGACAAACACATATGGACACTTTCACTGCCAAACGACATACGAACAAACACAGATATACACACTCGCTTGCATAGCACACAATAACTAATTTATAAAATACCCCCAGAAGAGGAGGAAAAGAATGTGGTTGAAGCAAATGGAATAAGGAAAGCATGAAAATTATTTAATTAGCAGAAAATTTACGAGTTACTGTTACTTATTTTGCATAAACTTAGGCGCATCGGCTGGCTTGAGCTCTCCTTTGATGTGTTTTGCAGAAACGATAGCAGCACAAAAAAAGAATAACGGTAATGGCTGGTGTTTGAGGCGTGAAACCAATACCCATATAAAAACTGCTTGCCGGCACACATCCACCAACATATGTATCTGAGAGCTTTTAATGGCATCGTACCGAAAGAAAATTTATACACTCGCGCACTTCCATACAAATCTCCACCATTCACCGTCAAGTCCATTCGTCCTACCGTCCATACATTAAACCAACAGCGCCACGCCTCTTCTGCTCGCCTTGTCACGCTCGCAAATGCAAATTAGACACTGCTGTGCGCTGCCAATTAAGTAAATCTGTTTCGACATTAAAAGAGTAGCGTTGATAGCATACACTTACCCGCTGCCCGCTTCTACCTACGGTTTCTTTTTCCTCCCTCGGGCTGTGCGGAGGACGTTCGAGGGAGATATTGTATTTTTATTACTTGTACGCTGCGAGCAGACAGCGCAAAAAAGTCTGTTGCACGTATGGCTGAATATCTGTTGTTGTTACTAATACTCACAGATTTGGTTGTAATTTTTCTTATTTTCGTAATTTCAATGGTGATTTAAAAAAGCTAAAATATTACCAGCAACGTGTTGCGAATTTGCTTTACGAGCAAGTCAAGTAGGTGTGACCCCATGTGTATGGGTACGTGTGCAAGATACCAGCGATTCTTTACTTTGTAACTATAATTAGTCCATTAAGTAATTACATTGCAACTAATATGTTTTGAGGGCATATTTTTTTGGTTTCCACCGAGAAATTCGTGTTCTTCTAAATAGCAGCGTATTAAGAATACATATCAAGCCAATGGTTGAAGCGAGAGTCATGAAATACCGAAAAAAGGGTCGTTTTCAAATGCTCCACTGAATTCGTTACATTTAGATAGTATTTTTGTGAGCAGATTTCCGGTAACTTTCGAGGCCTCACTTTTTAAGAGACCTGTCGGGAAGCTAGCGCAAAACCAACTTTTCAATTGAGCCCACTTTTGCTACCCATTAGTTCCAACCAGCCACACGTGCATTACATTCGATGTACAACGGGTACTAGTTATCTGGACTGCGAAAATCCGTTTGGTGGTTGCCATCCAAATTTATATATAATTATCTATGCTCGTCCTTTTAGCCAATAGTAATTATGCTAAAAATAATTTAAACTTTACATTGTCACACGCAGACGCACATACACATGCACGAAAAAATAAACAGCTGCAAATACGAGTATTTAGCAGACTTGAAACTGTTAAGGCGACAACTCTTACTGGCCTTAAAGCAATGAATTCAAATGAAAAATCTCTCTTTTTTAGCAGTTCTATGGAAAAAATATGCTTTCAAGACATTTTTCCTATCACTATTGCTTTTCTTTCTATCAGTTTTGTGTACAAATTTAAAAAAAATTCGTTGTATTTTTATTGCTTTTTTGGATTTGTAAAATTTTACTGCACTAAAAGTTCTTTATTTATATTCTACTTAATTATGTATGTATGTATAATATTAAATTACTGTTAAAATTTCAAATTGCTTTATAATTGCTTAAAATTGTAAAAAAGAACTCTTCTCTTCTTCTTATTCTTCCTTGTTTGCTTATGGCCTAATTCGTTGTTTGCGAAACGTTGCTCGTGGTCTACCATCATAAAATGTTGTTTATTCGTTGCTTTTGTCAAATCACGTTTACGTTTTACCTACTCCTAAGTAATTCAAAAGTTTTTATTTGGTTTTTTTTTTTTTTTGATTTTCTTGTGATTGGTGCGATTTGATGATGGTGATGGGATAGGCAAGTGCGTTTGATGAGGTTAAATGCTATTGAATGATTTATGCGAATGATAAATATATGTATGCTTGTATACCTATGTGTGTATGTGTGTGTGTGTGTGTGTGTGTGTGTGTGTATGAGTGGACATATGAAAGCCTCTTCAGCTCAAGCTAAACTTTTGAACTTTGAGTGAAAGCACCAAAGCTGAAGTGAAAGCTTCAAAGCACTAGTGAAAGCTGTCAAAGTTTTGAGGATTCACTATATCCTCTTTTCCCAAAAACAACTGTTATGCTGTGTTTGTCTGCATACGATGCTTGAGTGTGTTTCTACTGTGTTTATACCTATTTTAAACTCCTAACTGCTATTAACTATTTGTATTTTAATACTGCAATACCTTACTTTATTATTGTTGTGGAATTTCTACAATAAATTAACCTTTCTTAGTAAATTATTTGGTAATAATGTACTTTTGGTCCAAAAGTAATTAGCTTAATACTGTTTTAATAATATATATGTGATTTAATACTTTTCACACGTGAATACGTATGTATATATGTACATATGTATATGCCTATATTTTATGAATGTAAATAAACATTTATCGAGTATTCTATATATAATTGTGGACGTTTTTGTGATGTCTCGTGTGTTCAGCGTGTGTTCAATTTGTACAAATATTTACTAAAGCAAGAATTAAAAATCAAATAAATTGTTTAACAAAATAAAAAAAAATTCATAAATATCTAAAATTAATTAGTAAAAGTGTATCTAATATTTCAAATAACTGCTTATGTTTACATGATTTAATAAATAATTATTATTTTTACTGTTTTTTAATCGTATTGTAATAAAATAAATATTTATTAATGAAATCTATTCAATTTTTTATCTAATTTTTCAGAAATTAATATTTTATCAGTTATGCTTTTCATAATATTTCAGAATATAAAATTTCATCATCATTTTTTTCTCAATTCTTCCAAAGCAAAATTTTACAAAAATTTATGAATTTTTTTTTTTAATAATTTATAAATAGTAAGTTTTAGTAAGCTATTAATAAGCTTTATAACAAAAAAAATGAAAATCTTTTAAAAAATATTAGAAAAATATTTACTTAGTTTCAATATATGAAATTTTTAAGATTTTTTTATTTGAAAAAGTTTTACTACTAATCATACTGTCACTGGTAATGTTCCCCAAACCCTCAGAGGGTGGGTTAATTTATATTGGCTTAAGCCTCCATGTTCTCTATATTTTAAGTGAGTCTATAAGTCCTCTTGTATATATATAGGTATAAATAAAGGTACGCTTGCAACAAAACCGTAACTTTTGCACTTCCACTTTACGAACTTTTCCACTCGTCGTTAACTATGTATACACGTATATACTACCTGCGCTCTCGCACTTAAATATTACTTACAATTGCACCAAAGGGCCACTTGACTCCGCTCACAGTTTGCTGTTTGTTTGCTCTGCCTACTCTGCTTGCGTCTCCCATCCAATCCACCTCCTCGGCACGACCTTAGCCAACAAAAGGCGTTTCCACTTTCACCAGTGTTGCGCCAGCTGCCGACACAGGCATCGGAATTGTTAGTGCACTTATACTGCCAATTTTTACCGCCGACGGGGTTGGCGATGTGGAGATGAAACGTCGATGGTGCTGCTGCTGCTGCTGATGTGCTGTCGGCGTTAGTGGATAATCTTCCATAGACGGCGCCGGTGATTCCATATCGTTGCTTACATCACTGTCGAACTGCATATCAGCCTCGTCCTTGAGGCATGCCGACTCCAGATGCTTATTGAGGTACGACTTGAGCGCAAATGTCTTGTGGCAGCGTTTGCATTCGAAGTTCTTATCGATCGAATGTGTTTGCATATGGGCGCGTAAATTGGAGCGGTCAGCGAAGGCTTTGCCGCAGTGTGCACACCCGTAGGGTTTCTCGCCCGTATGCGAGCGCAAATGGCCCTGGAGAAGCCATGGACGTGAGAAAAGCTTACCGCAGACATCGCAGCTGTGCGAGAGCTTGTGCGTTAACAAGTGCATGGCGAGTGCCGGCATCGAGACATACGCTTTGCCGCACGTGTGGCACTTCTTGGCCGATTGCGAGTCGAGTGAGCGGTGAGTTTGCTTATGGCGTGAGAGATTACTCGACGTGGCATATTGTTTGCCGCACTCTGTGCATGTGTACTTGGCTTTCTGCAGATCCTGCTGTACTACCGCAGCCGGATCCACGACATGTTTTCGCTTCGATCGACCATCGCTCACAAAGAAGGCTTCGTAGGTGTAGGCAACCGTCTTGTTGGAGCCGTGGCCCGCCGACGTCGACTGTATACCCGTTAACTGGTTTGTAGTATTACTATTTTCATTTTGCACGCTACTGGCGGGCGAACTGGGCTGCCGATCGCTATCGCTGGTGGTGCTGAGCAGGCTGTGCATCGAGGCTGTGCTGCGCGGGCGCTGTTCGTTTGCGACGCAAGCGGCAGCGGCCAAATCAGCAATGGATGGGCTTGGGTGGTGATGCAGACCGACTGTGGCCGCCACTGTATCTTGCTGTTGTTGCTGTTGCTGCTGTAATTGTATAGCGTGTGTTATATGATGCAACGGATGCTGATGGTGATGGTGCAGTTGGTGCTGAAGTTGCGTCGGGAGCTCTTGCTGTTGTTGTTGTATTTGATGGGGCTGTATTGGCGGATGGAAGGCTGTGGAAGCACTCAAATCGAGTATTGCGTGCGCGGCATGTAAATCCTCCTCCGCCGGTATACGCAAGCTCTCGTACGGTGCACGTACACGCTCCACACTGGGCCTATCGTCCAGCGAGTATGGACGGTAGATATCTTTCTTCTTCGGAGGCAGCGACAGCGCAGCGCCAGTGCTGGTGAAACACATGGCCAACGATTTATTACGCAATATGCTGGACTCACCTGCACTTGTCTGGGCGTTGTGGTTTTTGTTATTGTTATGCAATACATACTCCTCTCTCTCGGTCTTAACTCGTATCATGGGCGGACTAAGGCGATCACTAATGTTACTAGAACTGCTACCTTGACTATGACACTGACCATCACTGTTATTGTTGTGAGTTGCCATCGTCAATGCACTGCTCGCATGACTTGTCGGTGATGCTGAAGGCGAAGAGGCGGTCGAAGGCGGCGGTGTGTGTACGAACGATGAATACGGATGCGCCGCATGCGGTAGACTTACGAGGCTGTGATGGTGCCTCGTGCCGGCGCCGGAAGCAGCGGCCACAGCTGCAGCAGCCACCGTCGCGGCAGCAACGGCACTCGTAATTACAGTTACTTCACCATTTTCCATTCTTGGCAGGTACGCTGTTGTGTAGTGCTGGTGGTGCAAGGGCGAAGCGTCATGGCCGAAACCTGCAAAATGCAAGAGATAGAAAATATGAGAGACTCAGTAGATGAGTGAGTGAGTGAGTTAGTGAATGAGTTAGTGAGTGAGTGTGTGACTGGGGCAGGCACGACGCTTGTAGAGTAAAGGGAATTTTTAATTTTACTCTTGTCGGCCATAAAATCAATAAAAACCCAAAAAGACGATTGCAGTAAATTCGGCAAATCTGCACGCCAAATACTACAGAGATGGACTTTTCCAAGTGAGCCTACATACGCCACACACGTAACACTCGTGTACGGACACCCAGGGCGGCCCATGAAGCCCAAGTTGAATGAAATCCTGTGTATGTAGTAGTTTACAGCTCAACATTTGGCAAAGTGCCAAATTTATGTAGTTTTGTTGTGTGTAAGCAAAAACATGCGCCCAACATTCTCGCCACATACTCATGCAATGTTGGTCGCTGTGTGCATTTCGATGTCGATGCGGCAAGTAGAGGAGCGGAGCGAATTCATTACATATCCAGATATGACTGCGAGAATTTTTGAATTATCTACAATGTGATGTTATTTAAACACCTCAGTGGAGCACATATACATACATACACACATACATTGTATGTAAAGTGCACAAATATTGATTTATCAGGTCGCTAAAATAATTAAAATTACTGAAGTGAATCCAAAAGTGAAAAACCAACGACAAAATGAAGACAAGGGAAGCTTATACAAATGCACTCCATTCTCATTGGGAAGCACTGATTTCTCTCCGAATTTCGTTGAAAGGACTTAATTAATATTGCTTAAATAATGGAAATTCATATCCAAATTCATTAAAACTCTTCAAAGAATGCCTTAAGATAAGAAAGGGTAAGGGAAATTAATTTTCAAATTAACTTTTATTTAATTCCTTTTAAAGATTTCAAATTACACCAAACTTCAAGTATTAAGAAACTTCAAAATGGTTGAAAATGCAAATTCATTGTTCGCTAGAGTCAGTACTGACAATTTTGTAAAAACAAAAAAATTAGTTTTTTCTTTTTAAATTTCTCTCCAAACTGAGAGAAATGCTCTCAATTGGGACCGCAGTGAAATAGTAGGAATGCAAATTTTTAAAGAAATAATGAGGCCTACATTTAGGGTCATTACTTCTCCGGACTTGAATTTTTTTATATTTACGGGAGTTTCATTCGAATTACAAACTTGCCAACAGGCAGACAAATGTGGTCACTAAATGTCGTCCCGTGGCATTTGAGAGCGATAGCTGACTGTGAAAATAATTAATGCCAAAGGCACTACTTTCCACTGGCACACACACACACAAACACCTCCATCATACGAATTCAACGATTCTGTATCATCCACATAAGAATCTGCAAAGGACCTGCCAATTTTTTTCTACATTCATCCTCTCAACTTGCACTCACATTGGCAATCATATGCGCCGCCAGCCACGCGTATACAACAACAAGTAGATAGCCAGCCACTCATCATTGCTGAGCCTGAGCTTGAGCCGCATCGAAACGAGAGATCAACGACGCGGATGGCAGCGCGAATGTTCTAATAAAATATGTAACAGCAATAAGTAGCATGAGTACATACTATGTATGTACAAAGTTGTAGAACAAGTTACATACATGTGGTCTTGCCTAAGCGCTTTGCGATATGCTACTACTACGGCAGACGCAGCGGCAGACTTAATGCGCCATAACAACATAAAGTATATCCTGATTTTCATTTGTGAAAAATGGCTTTGGGATCTAACTTGCATACAGACATGCACGTTCGTATGTATGTAAGTATTTTGTGTTGGCTTTAAATTGTAATTTGCAACAGAGGACAGAACTGCCACTAATACCTCTGCATTTCCATATATACATACATACATATACATATTTTAGCTAACACATGTGGATAGAGGAGTGTTAAACGCACACATATACACATGTAGACATATGTAAGTGTATGGAAGTGTGTATGTATGTGTGCACCCATCGGCTTTGTGTAAAAAGTTTACATTTTTCTGCGCACACAAACATAATGTAAATATTTTTAAGTAAATATGTGTGTGTGTGGCTGTGTGCTTGAGTATGAACGGTACATAGATATAAACTTTAATTAAGCAACGGCAGGGTTGTTATGAAGATTTATGCAAGTGACATGTGTCACATTCTGGGTCAACATGCGATGCGCATAACTCATGACAGGCTTAAAATTAAATATTTCAGCAGAAAGAGCGCAACAAATGCGAACAACAACCATTTGCACATTCAAAACAAGTACACGCACACAGGAAAGTGTAAATGCATGTGTGTGTGTGTGTGTGTGTACTTTTACTAAGTTGCAAGCGGGTATATGTGAGATATCCAAATATGTATTTGGCGCTTACCGAATAGCAGCAACAGGATTGAACGCCTGAAAGTATGCACTTCCATAGGCGCAAACATAAGCACAAATTTGTTTGTGTTGCACCATGAGTTTGTCAGGAAATACATGCATGCGTTTGTTGCTTGAAACTGCAGTTATGTATGTGAATGGTTTTAATTTGAGCAAGAATGAGAAGACAACAACAACAACAACAATAAGTTGCCTGCAATGCCATCCAGTTGTTGCATTTTGCATTGTTCTTGTTGCGACATCGTGGTGAAATTAGAAAAAAACTTAAATTAATTAAATTCTAAACTAAATATTTCAAACTTGAACTCGACATTATTTTTTTCATTTAAATTTTATATTTATTATTTTAAAAGCAAATAAAAATCGATTGACGAAATGTAACATGAAAAAGGCTTCCATATGATATTTAAAAATTACAACTCGCAAGTAAAAAAGCAATAATCCCTAATTTGTCACTATATAAGCTTCTTTTTTCTTTATGATGTAGTAAAAAGTAATCCATTAGTTTATCAAGGAGCAAAGAATAAATCCTTTATATTCAGCAATTTCTTCGATAAAGGCGAAGACGCAAGTCAGGCAGCTGAAAATTTAAATAGCGTTCAGGGTCCTTATACCCTAACAGTCAATCAGGCAAAATTTTGGTTGCCGATTCCGTTCCGATAATTTCGATTCAAGAGATGTCCACTGTGTAGAATATAATCGTTCAAAATGTCGTAAAATTAATGTAAGTCGTCGAGCTTTAAAGGCTGAATAAACAAAGAAGCTCGATATATGGGTCTCAATCGTAACGAAGCGGAGTGTGACTGGTTCACTTACAGCAACATTAGCAACGAATCATCCGCTACAGGCTGTTCCCCTATTGTGATTTTTGATGGCCTACAGTTTATTCTTAGCCGTCACCGAACGGGTGATGGAGTTGTATGAGAAGCTTTGATTTTCACGTCAGAAATACACTCAGAGGACCTCCGAACCGCAGTATGCATTATTCACTATGCGCACAGCAAAATCAAATTAAGAGAATCTACTTCTTTTTGTTATCTAATGTTTCTACTTTTCATTAATTCATTAGACCGGCGATATTAAAGTCAAAAGAGGATTTTCCAAAGTCGAAAATTAAAGCTTTAAAACGTTTCTTTTCTACAGCAAGCATAAAGAGCATAAGTTACTTCAAATAAAATTCTCTCACACCAAAAGGATGGAAGGCCAAAGTAGAGTTACCAAAACTCCACAGGCAGTCCGTCTGAGGAAAGGAAGAAACTTAACAAATTCACATACAAAGGCACATAAATACATAACCAACATATGTTTTGAAAGCAAAACCAGCTGAGCTACAACGGGACAGCTGACTACTTATGATCTTAGCAAAAAAAAAGCAACAAAGTGAAGTAAAACAATAAAAATGTTGGAAGGTAACGGCGCTGCAACAACAAGAAGGCAAAACAAAGTGAAATAGTTTTAAGTTCAAAACCAAAAAAGGGACCTACAGACATACACACGCACAAGCACACACACCGGCAGTACAGAATTCAAAGCGGAAGCTGGTAATAGGATGAAGTAAAGAACCGGTCATACTCATACTCATACCCAGCCCAGCTAAACACGACTCGTCTCAGTTGGCGCGCTTTGACGCAATGCCATGCCGCGTCATTCCACTTGAAAGTTCACAAGCAAAGGCAACCCCGTTTCGTTTCTTTTAGCAACTTTTTTTCACTTTTTCTACTTTTTCCCTTTTGTAGCGCAAATCCTTGCGCTGCGTAACAGAAGGCGGCCACCGTCTGCTGTTTCTGGTGGCAGCGCCGCTGCGCAACAGACGTTTGCTAACCCCCATCTAAGTCCCTCTTCCGTTCAACCGCTTGCCCATATACTTTAATCGAAATTCTGCGACCCTTGAATTTGGTGCTGCGAATTTTATTTTCATTGCCCCACTGTTGTTGCTGTTACTGTTGCTGCTGCCGCCGCCGCCGCCGCCCTCCTAGCAACTCAGTCATACTGGCACTTGCTCGCTGGCTCACTGGCTCACTGTCTCGCTGGTTGGCTGGTTGGCTGGTTGGCTGGGTCGCTGTCTCGTTCTGTGTTTTGCTCTTTTGTTTCACCAGTTGATTTGTCGACGGATTATTTCGCTCAAATACACAATTCAATGTTTGAACGATTTGTTGGAAAATTTTTCGTATTGGGGTGACAGCAACAACATTAGCAACAACAACAACATTAGCAAGAGCAACAATAAAAGTTGCAATGTATGCAAGTAAAGAAGAGCAATAAAACTTATTGTATATATGTACGTATGTATTAAACATGTTTCTTCGATTTGCCACAAAATGTTGAAATTTGTCAAACGATTAGCTCGAAGTCGGTGGCAGCAATATACCAGCGAAGCAAGTTCTTTAGTGACTTTAAGTCGAAGGGGGGTAAGCGCTAAGAAGGCTTGTACTTTATGTATTTTTTGAGTATTTTAGCGAACCAATAAAGTAATGCAATTTGTCGTTCGTCGCGAATATTTTGAATGGTTTCATTAAGAACGAATTCTTCCTCTAAGAATTCTGCCCAATTCGGTGTTTGAAGTTCATTTTTATAAATTTGTGTAGTTTCTAATTGAAACTTGAATATTTTGGACTGCATTGATTTATGTGGAAATGTTCTCTTATTCAACTCGTTAAAGCACTAAATTTTTCACTTTTATTTTTATATTTTAGGAAAACCTTCTACACAGATCTTTTTGGATAAAAATTAAAATTTGCGCAAAAAAATCATTTATTTCAATTCTTGTTGCTTAATATTATTTGAATTAAAGTTTTCAAAAGATCATCAAATCTGTAATGAAAAGAATTTTTATTCAAGCAAACGCTCTTCCAGTCCCTCCCTCTTTGCATACATGTAGATATGTATGTTTCCGTTTGTATCAACGCAAGATGTGGCGAAGTTGTTGTTGCTGAGTTTCGGAATTCAAATACTGGTATGTGCCCAAAGACCCAGCACAGCGAGAGTCTCTTCTCTATTTTGAACAAAAAAAAAAACAAAAAAAAAGTTACCAAAACGGAAACGGAAATGCGTGTTTTACTGAGACAGCAAAAATTCAAATGGAAATGAGGAGTCAGCAAAAAACGGAAAAAATTGTATAAAAATTATAGAATTAAAATTAATAAACTTCAAACAGAGCATAACCACTGAAAGGCAATCAAGGAAGAAGAAAATTACAGTAAAAGTGAAATAAATGCGCAAAGAATTTGAAATGTAAATCAGAAAGCAGCACAGCAAGTGGGCATTGCTGGTGAACATTGAAGGAAATTAAATTAGAATGAATTAAAATTCATATAAAATATTATGTTGGAGCTTCATGCCGCGTATGAGTATCCTTATAATCAACTGCCTAATCAAACAGCCGTCGGAAGCGGGGCGCTGTCAACGCTTCGCTAATAAATTAATTAAAAATGGAAATAACTTCAATAGGGAAACAAACAAATGGAAATATTTGGATACACAGACTTGAAAAATCAGCTAAGTAAAAATTAAGGCATTACAGCCGGGCTTTTCGCTGGCAAGAAATCACTTATTGGGCAGATTCTACCAATACTCGCTGTTCATTTAAAAAATTTTGAACGGAAATGACGTAAATGCAACCATGAAACATGAACTAGCCCATACACTACAAAATAACAACACAACAACAAAGGCTTAGTGAATTGTGGAGCGAATGCCCCAAAAAAAAGGATCGCTTGCTGAGCTCCATTTCCCTGCTTCATCATCACTTGGGTTTCTTTCTCTTCGTTTTGCACTCGCCACACGGTTGCCGCATAACTGACTTCCTTTCGCGAGAATTCATTGGCCACTGTTGCAGTGAGCCGTGTTAGCTCCCAACGCACAGTGGGATGTACACTAAAGCCTGGCTGGCTGCTAGGCTTGCTTGAGTAGCTTTTTTTCGTTCAAGGGCCCAAGTCAATTGTCTCAAGAGGCAACTAGTTTGAACTTTTTTTTGACCACATAACTCAATCGTCTTTATATGATGAGCGTGTGGTTTAGCTTAGGAAAACTTGACAGTGAACTCATGTGTGTGTTCACTTCAGTCGGGACCGGTTTAACAAGTGGACGCGTACGGTTTGTGAAACTTTCGTTTGAGTGCGCCTTTTTGCTTGTTTTTTCTTTTTTTTTTTTAATGTTTACAAACATTATCGTATAGAAGCTTCCATCTAATATTTCCGCGATAAAAAAATACATATTCAGGATATTTATTTAAAATGCATTTATTCATGCTGAGAAATTTCAACATTTTCTAACAAAATATCTCTGTTCAGCATAAACGCTTTGCTTTTAATAAGTCGTTTGTGAGATATTCTTTAATTTCATCCCCTTATCCGCCATAAAAGGCGTTAAGACTTGATGGAATCATTAAGAAGTAGTGTTGATTCAGATGATAGTATGAATATTAAGTAAGTGTAGCAGTACTTGCAGACGGGAGAAAATTTTTCTTCGAGAAAAATAATTAACCCAACTTTCACTCATGAACTAGTGTTTCGAGAACCCCATTAGAGCGCTTTACTTTTCCCACTCACTGCCAGTGGCAGTGTCTACCATTCCTCAGCCAAAAGTATCACCAATATTTGATTATGTCCAACTTACCGTTATATAACGCTGTCGTACCACGTGTTGCCGCCTCCGGTGAGTGTGGCGGTGGACTTGGCGCTGTAGCGCCCGCAGTCGGTGATGAGGGCCCCCAACAAGTCGGCGTACTACTGTTCGATGTTGTTGCGGCCACTGTCGTAGTCGCCGCGGCTGCTGTTATGTGTATTGTACGCGTCTCAACCTTAGCGCCATTCTCCACCAACTCAGCAGTGCTGACACCGCCTGTGGCTAATGCTAAGGCATTGTCACCCACAACATCGATCTCTTCGTCATCATCGATCGTGGAGCGGCGTGATTTCGACGATCTTCTGCTGTGATATTGCTGCTGCTGCTGCTGCTGCTGCTGTGGACTGGGTGGTGATGTTGCAACAGCACTGGCCTTTGGGTTTGCCTCTTGTACCGCTGCGCTCGCGATGTTGTCTTCGACGCGATCAAGCCAAGGATACGCTTTCCATTTTTTAGCCATTAAACAGCGCGGCATGGTCGTTGTAGGGGCGCGGGTATTGGGAAGCTAGTGGAATGTTAAACAAAAGCAATACTACTGTAGTGGCAAAAGCTAAAGTGTAGGCAGGAGCAGGCGCTACAATTGTAGTTAATATCCTTTTTATGTTTCTTCTGTGGGAAATTAGCTTGGCATTTGTAAAGGGTCTGTAGTTATTTCGTGCGAGCTAAGTTTATAGTAAGTAGAGTCGTTCTATTGTTGGTGCTGTTAATGTAAATAATCACACTTTTAGGAGAATTTTCGAAATAGTTTAGTATAAGTTTTGAAACTTTTTACATAGTTTGCTCGACGAAATTTCAAGGTTTTGTTTCAACTAAGGGTTAAGCATTTGAATCTTTGCTTGATTCTTTTTTTTTTAACTTTTTTATTTTCTTATTTTTTTTTTTGGTTAAATCCTAATTTTTCGCATGCCTCCTTCAATTAAGTTTTGTTGTTGCTGGCGCACATCCGCACATCCGCACATTCACAGGCAGGCCACATCCCATTCCAACAGCCGACAATTGAATGATGCCATTCGTAAGTGTTGTTGTTGCTGATTAGATTCTTTCTTTAACTTTAACTTTAAATATATATATAAGTATGTACATTTGCTTTTGTATTGCTATTCATGCTATCGTTGTTATTGTTATATTAATTATTTAGCTTAATATGCTTAATTGCTTAATGACATTGCTTTTTAGAGCTCTTTTCATTGCATTCGCGTAGTTCTCCAACCCCTTCAAAGCAATGCAAATTTACTCCCTTCGCATTTTCTCACACTTGCCGCTGTTGTTGTTGTTTATACATACACGTATGTAGAATCACTCGTCGTTCTCGTCGTACGCTTTTGTTTATATATTTCTTACACTTTCTTCATGTGTTGACTTTTGATTTTCTTCTTGTTTTTGTTGTAGTTTGTGTAGTTTTTTTTTAGTTTTTTTTTGTTTCGAAAAACTTTTCTTCGACGGCGTATTGATTTTTAATCCGTGATTCAGTTGTCAGCCACGCGACAATCCACTTTACGCCTTCTCGCACTTCAGCCAACACAAAATTTGTTGAGTTCGAACGGTTAGAAGTAGTCAAAGCGGTCGCCGGAAAAAGTACACGAACTGAGGAGTAAGTAATTTATAGATTCAGATTTTTTGCGTAGAAAATTGAATAGTCTGAAAATAATTTTCTTTCTTCTTGCAAGTAACCGCACGTACCGTAAAACGAGGCACACGACCTTTCGACAAACACACACAATTCTTGATTTCGCGTTGATTTTCTTCTTTAATCCTTTTTGTCTTCTTAACACTTTTTCTCTTGTAGTTTTATGCGCGACGTCTTTTTTGAATATTTAATTTTTTTATAAACAATTCTTAGTTAAAAGTTATAGTTAAATGTTTCAGAAAAAATAATGCATAGAATTAATTGATTGAGGTTGGAAAATTAACTTAAGGATCCGTACAAGAGAATATTATATAATAGAGAGAAGAGAAATGCGAACCGAACGTAAGCAACCCTTGGAGGCTTATGAGAAACCGTAGTCATCGCACAGCGGCTTTTATATGCCCGTCAATCGGCTAAGCGACAACCGACGGAGCGGAACACAGAATGAGGTACGGCGGAAGTGGCACAGAGATTGGCTGTAGGCAAAGAAGTGGCAAGTGAAACTATTCCCAACTGTTGGGGTGTGCTTTTGCAACCCCTAACACCAGTTATGTCGCAAGCTACTCGGGTAGGGGTGTGCAGGGTAATTGAGGGCGCACTGAGTGCAATAACAAAACACAAAGTCTGAGCGGCTGGATAGGAATGATATGAGACAGTGAAAAACTCTCACAGCGCTCAAAGAAAACACGACAGTGCAATTCGTGCCTTTGAGCTGTTGCTTCAACGCCGCGATGAGTGAGAATCGGGCACACGAAGCAACAGTAGTTGGCGAACGAAGTGTAAGGACGATGAGTGCGCGAGCTGAGCGAGTGTGGAAGCGGAACGTAATGGAAGTTTCGGAATTCCGGCTGATTTGCTGTGGTTGTGTGTGAGCGTTTGTGTGGGTTTGTGTGGCCTGACTGTTGAACGTGGCTATGACAGCAACAACGGCCAAGCAGAGGCAGCCAAGCAGGTATTGGCGGAAAGAGCAGCTGCCATGCCTGTGCTAGTGTTTGTTTCTATGTGTGTGTGTTTCCGACCGTTTGTGGCTAAAGGAGCTATTGTATTGGCACTCGCAGCCGTCAGCGCAGCAGTGGCGGTGGCAGCAAGCAGCAGGCAACAAGCAGCAATAGCGCGCCAAGCAACAATCAGGAAGTGCTGTTCCATTCTCATTCACTCCCAACGTAACTGTTTCAACCACTCTGAGACTGACTTCGCTGATAAACCGACACACAACATTATACCTACATATATACATACTCCCATACACTGTGCATATGCATGCCTCTGCTCGAGTGGCACATGCCACATGCTTTGGCGATCAACAATGGGTTATTTTTCGATTTGTTGCATTCACAGTGGCACAGCTGCACTGGAGCAGCAGCAAGGTAGGGGGTAGCAGGCAGCAGCAACAGCTTAAAGGGGGTAGCGCGCTCTGTGTGCCACAACAGATGCCGAATGTTCCAATTTCATTACGAACTCTGCCTGAGACCGAGTGCATGTTTTGAGAACAGTTGACTGATTGAAGAAGGCTTTACTGTTGTTGGCGCTTGGGGAAATTCGATGTTGGGGTCTGAAACAGGGGTATTTTTTTTTAGTGAGGCGCTTGTTGCATTTACAACAATTCGAGTTAGTGCAAATTGAAATATTCGATTTTAAGTTCCAAAAATATATTGAAAATAAATTAAAAATAAAAAAAATTTAAATAAAACAATAAAGTATAAAAGACCCGTCTCGTCAGGAGGAGAGTGCTTTAATTAAGACAACTCTAATCTCCTAATGTGAAAATAGCATGTTTCTTTTTTAGCGCTGGAGTCTTTTTGTCGAACAAGAGGAATGTTTTTGCCCAAAATCTCACTTAGTACATTTGTTCCTGTGACTTTTTTCATATCTGTTACAGTGAAGAGACCAGTGAGAGAACAAGCTCGTAGCTTTTAAAAATAATTGAATATTAAAGAATAAAGAATAGTCATTCCTGGTTGTACCTTGTCGGAGAGAGCTACAATTGCCCTTTTGGTGAGCCCAGCGCTTTCAATGATGTGTACTTGTCGGTCCTCCAGTAATAATTGGTCAAGCCTGTTACACATCGCGCTTAGGGCTGATGGGTGCTGGAGCCCATGCATTTTTTGATAACCTTGGTGTGGTAGCGATTTACGCGAAAGACGTTCCAAAAACTTTATTTTGCTCTCCTCTTGGTATCTATAAATTTACTCATATTCTACGCCTCACCGGACCCCCAAACACACTTACCTACATAACGTGTTTCAGCGTCTTTATGATAAAAAATGTTCCCATAAATGCATTCAAGTGTACCCGAGCTTGAACTCCCTGGTCACACCATAACCAAGCATACGATCCTTGCTGAAACATGTGAAAGCGCTGTTGGACTTGCCAAAATCATGAATGAAATGTTCCTAAAAAATGCTTTGATACTCAAGGGCTGCTGTTCGAGAAGGCCACATCAAACAAAAAGATTGTTCTCCGCCGCCGAGACTCATTATAGTCCATATGATCGAGACCTGAGCGACGTTTACTTGGCAGTGAAATATTTTCTCCACATGAAAGTGGAGGATGCCACATTTACACGGTCCACAAGCCGCAAAAATTTGTCTGCTAAACGTAACGTAAACATGATATTGCCGCCTTCATTACAGTGTCTTTCAATCAAGTGGCGTGTAATGATACAGGGAGCTAATTAGGGTCGTGAAGTAACAACCTATCGCGGTGTAATTCCATTGAAGCGATGAAAATTATTTATGCAAAAAATTCGATCGTAACGAATTCAAAAATGTTTACACGGTTCTTTTAAGCAAATTCATCAGTTTTAAACGAAAAAAAGCAGCTCTGTTAGGTTGAACATGGAATCTTCAGAAGAATTTATGCAAAACTAAAACGCCGAGCCCCACTCCTTCCCAACTAATGCAGCACCCTGCTAAGGCCTGGTAACCCAACAATTGCGCTAAAAATTGACCTTACAAGGCGATTGCCAGGGAAAAATAGAATGATACAGAAAGGCTCCAAAATTCACACACCCTCACACCTGCCTTGAAAACATTGCACCGAAAGTCAAACGCTGTGCGGGTGGCACTGCTCGGGCGGTTGTGCGGCAACAAAAAACTGTTGCTTGTGAAAACTCACAACAAACTACTTACTAAAGGACTACGGTAACAACAACAGCAACAGTAGTGAAAACCATGAAAAAGATTTACTTTCACCCAAAAAATCAACTCCGAAAAACAGGTGGTGTTCAACTTTTGAGGCAACAGGCATTTGGGATTGAGGCTTCCGTCCTTTCTTACTTTCCGTTTTTACCTGCTTTGTTTGCCGACTTTCTGTTGCCGTTGTTGTTGCAGCATAAAACCGCAAGTAGCAAGTAGCACAGTGACTGCACTCCGTTGCCTGAAAGTGTGTTGTGCTGAGCTGTGCTGGGCGAAAACTTGAATTTTGCCACTGTCAGCAGCAGATGCAGCAGCAATGGCTACAACAGCAATAACAAAAATAAACAAAAACTTTACTGCTGCTTTAGCTTCGGCTAAGTCTGGGAGGCTTATCAAAAAATCTCCTCATTTCTTCAACCAAAAGCGAAGCCGCGGCACTCGGGCTCTGCAAAGAATTGTGGCGGCTGAGCGCAAACACAGCAAACACAGCAAACACACAGTTATGAATTTATGCGGGTGCCGCGTTGCTTTACAGCCATCGAAGGATCGCTTGAGGAACTCTGTATGTAGCTGTTGGTGTGGTAGGTGTGTGTGTGTGTTTGTGTGTATGTATGTTTGTGTGAGGGAAAGAGCTTCAAGTTTGCGGCCGGATATGGCAGTGATTGACATTGTATGCTCAGGCAGTTAGCTTTATGTAGACACAAGCTCTAGCATATAATATAATATGTACGTAGATACAATAACAACAACAACAACTCTTGATTCATGTGAATGTTGAATATGGATTTTTGCCGAGAAATATTTCATTATATTTAATGCATCAGGATTTCGTATGAGATAAGCCATTGAATATGAAAAAGTAACTGTGGCAGCAAGTTCTGCTACAACAAATACAAACAAACGAGTTAAGAAATGTACGATGCATTATTTATGCACCGACTCGTATGCACTGTAGACACATATATACTAATGTAAGTATTTATGGCTGTAGCTCAAGTGCAAAATGTATAAATGGAAAAGTGATGAGCGCTAAGATACGAAAATTGATATACAGTAAATATGTGTGCATGCCTGTATTTGAGAAAGATGGATTTACAGGCTCAGAAGTTTTGAGTTAATGCACTTTTGTTATGTTTTTGGGAGCGAGCTTGGAGGCTTAAAATAAATGTTTTGTTTTTCAATAATAAAAAGTTAGTTGTTCATCACTTACGCCTGACTAAATATTAATGCATTTCTTAGCGCTTTTCCAACTCTGACGGAAGCTATGTCCTTGGTAGGTAAGAAAATAGAATTCTTTCAAAAACGCAGGCGGCGTATTTTAGTTGTATTTCTCGCAGCTGTCCCCTCAGAGAACAGACAGCGTAAGAAGCTAACTTGACCGTTTTCGGTGCACTTCGCTACCACTTAATACCATCCTCAAGTGCAGATCGCCTCAGCTTCTCATTGACATCGAAAACAGAATTTGCATTCTCGAAAACCCATCAACATTGCACCTGAAAGCGATATCTCTGTGTCCCAGCGCTCAGAAAAAACTTAACCTAAAGAGGGCACCGACCTTTCCTACGAAAATAAGCGCACTAATCCAAATTACTCTATAAGAGCAGGGAAAATTAAATTTATTTCAATTGGAAGCACATAAAGAGTGTTTTTTCAGACATGTGATTTTCAAGAAGAAATTAAACGCATATCAAAAGTAGACTACCGACTTCACATAACCCCACAGAAAGTAGCCCAGTGGTGTTAAGCCAGGCAATCTTGGAGCCCATGCTGCTAGCCCATGACGCGAGCCCAAGTGAACCCATTATCACCGAATTTTTCTTTTCCGGATAGCACCAAAGAGCGTCCATATCAACGTCATCCAATTCAGGATGGGAAGAGTCATTAATCATGGCTCTTTCTTCTTTGAAGAAATAGGGATCAATGGTTTCCTCTGCCCCAGAGCACATCAATCGTCTATACAACGGCTTGTGGATTATCATAACTCTAACTAAGCATTTTGGCGTATTCAAGACCATCAGCCGAACCTTGCATAAAGTGAATAGAAACAACTCCAATTGTAGCTAGCGTCGTTATGCCCACTGTACGCCATATCTGGGCATGCCCCTAATAGAATTTAATATATTATATTATATATATCTGCTTACGTCAACCACACAGACCAACTCCCAGCGAAAATTGTTCTAATGGAAAATGTCTATAGGAACCCAAACA